TCGTGCTTCAGACCGCGCGGCCACTGTGCTCGGCGATCTGCATACATATCCTGGCGAAAACATGTCTAGTAAGACCTTAAAATAGACGATCACTTCGCCCGTTTCATATCTCATTAGGGCCACAATCTTATTTCGTAGTTATCATAAAAGTGACCTATTCGCGGTCGAGTGAGTAGCACTGTGCTTCATATTCAGGAGGTCCCAGCTTCAATTCTTGACCGGGAGATCTACCTTGATTACGATTTCTTTTTCGTGGTTTTCTCCAGTCTGTCCAGGCAAATGCCGGGATAATTAGCGCAGATTGGTCACTTGCTAGTCTTTCCGCGTTCTTTCCAAATCATTAATCACTAATTATCTTCCCATTAGACGCCATATGGTTTGAGCTACTGACAGTGACGTAAATAAATAGCAGAACTGTTGGTCCTGAAACGTAAACAAAAAGTGTATGATGGTATAACTGCACATTTCAACTTAGCGTGACGTTGAACTTTCCATGCGACCTTTGTGCTCTTTTTCCACAAAAGGAATGAGATAACAATGCCTTTTGAGCATGTGCGAAGATAACACAACTGCTTCTTATTGTGAAGGACATAACGCAGCGGATTGTGCTGCAGATACAACAGTGTTTCGGGCACGAGATGTTGTACTCGTCGTAGTTTTTGTTCAAGGCTTCCTTTAACCTTTAATACGAGAATATAGTGTACGTAGTGTCATTAACTATTTAAGGCGTGAAGAGAGCGGAGATTATCTACAGACAAGCGGCTGTTATCAGTGTTACTACAATGAGGCATGAGTACTAGGTTGAACACGAATTTCTCGTAAATCTGAAAATTCAGTTCCTACCTCACAGGAAACACTACCTCTTGTGTAAGAACACTAATCGGTTAATACAGTTTAGGGAAACAACTGCTATTTATTCTGGGAATGATATGACATACATACGAAAATACACGGGGGCACGCTGTAGCGTAGTTGGTTGAGGCACTATGCTACCAGCCGGAAGGTCGCGGGAACGAATCCCGATGAGGTTATTGGATTTTTTTTTCAATTTACCTAATCCTTCCAGCCGCACTATGGCCCTGGCGTCGACTCAGCCACTAACAGTAATGAGTACCAAGAATATTCTTGGAATGTTCTTGGGGGTAATGGGCGGCCGGCGCGTAAGGCTGACAACCCTACCACCATCTATGAGCCGATTGTCTAGAAAATGTGGGAACCTCAACATGTCACAACCCTATGGACCTCCACGGCCTGTTACAGGGATACCCTTACTTTTACTTTTTTTTTTTTTTCATTGGCGCTACAGCCCTCATTTGGGCCTAGGCCTACCTTCATGAATCTCTCCGTTCACTTCGGTTTACTAGATCTTAGAAATACGGTAGGACTCCTTGGGCGGGTGATCAGCTCCTCGCAAGGCCTCTTACCTGTACACAAAGACAGAAAAACGCACACAAACATCCATGCCCTGAGTGGGATTCGAACCCACGATCCCGGCTATGCCTTAGACCGCTCGGCTTTGACCGGCTTACTTTTACTTTACCTCATATAAATAAACTGTTATGAATTTCAGAATGTTTTAACGAATGGTTCTTATAGTATCCACTGTGTTTAAAGCGGTTAATAGTTACGCCTGTAAGACCATTGGGCAGAATGTGTTTACTAGCTTTAGTTTGATCTGCGAGGCTAGTGGAAACGATGCATGTTGCATAAATGTTCACACTGAAGTGGTAGAATAGGAGGAAACGTCGTGGACTGTTTTAACCGTTTCAAGACAAAGTCAGTCGAGAGTCAGAGTTATTTATACTTTACGACCGGTGGTTTACCGGCAATCAGTTCGTCTTGGCGCTCGTCGTCATGAAGATCACGACCACATATTTTATTTTTGCAACTGAACCCATGCGGTCATAGCCCTTATGTTACATCATCTTTGGTGAGAGGATGGGTTTGTCTCTTACGGGTGGGTTTGCCTTTGTCAAGTATATTGTGGCGTACCACCAAAAAGCCGGGCGATAAGACGTCCATTGATAGACAACAGTTGCAATAAGAATGTATACTTCAGTAAAAACGCAATATCAACAGACCGTTGCATAGGAATCGCCCAAACAACAAATAAGTTTCCCCGGAAATGGAAGGATATCCATGGAAACGAATACTACCAGCGGATAAAACCGAACCCTTGAACACGATGTTCACTAGTCAGTCCGAGTGCACGTTATAAAAGTCCAGCTTCGACGAGACCAGTTAGTTTTTAGTGTAGCTCCGACTAGAGCAAAAGCAAAGTCGCGTCCGACAAAGGGATGAAGACATCGAGAACAGCGGTGCAAGTAATTGCGATAGTGAAGTTGTGAATAATTGTACTTGCGAGTGTAAAAGAGATTGTCCAATAAACGTCTTAGCCAAATCTGAGACACGCGTGAATTTATTTGTCGTGTTACATAGGCAACACGCGGCAATATGTATCACATAGATCTGTAAATGATATACGTGTAAATTCAGTTCTTGTCTCACAGGAATAATTGCACGTCGTAATTCTCTCCTTACGAGGGAGGGCTCCTCAGTTATAACGATATAATTTTCTCAACATTTTAAGGCCTTGAAATGTGAATAAATTAATGGGCCTTTGTGCAGGTACCTCTGCATGCATAATACATATTGCATGATTTCATTACTTGGCCCATGATGATGTTTTAAATAAAAATAAAATTCTTCTATTTTTCGTCTGTTTCTCTTATAATGTTTCGACCCACTTCTGTTAATGAGTTCTGTGGTAATGTGGAGCATTGCATGACGGTGCATTATAGATTGGCGTAGAATGGGGAAAGTCAATTTCCTTATCATATGTTAGCGGTGACTGAAGAAACTCCTGATAATTTGTAGTTTAGAGATACTTTTACCGCTCTTTCGCAATTGTCACGTGAGCAATCAAACTGCATAGCACGGGGATTTTGTAACTGATCTCGGCTGGGCGCCAATTGTAACGGTTCCTTTGAGAGGGACTTCTGGGAGAATGGAGGGCGTTGCGTTGCGCTTCAGCTGCAGTAGATCTTCACTGGGCCGCTGATTGCTGCATCGCACGTAGCTGCCGAAGTCCTCTCCGTTTGTCTTTACCCTTACCCCTCCCCATTGTTGCTGTGAGGTGGTATGTTAGGGAGGAAAGAGGTCTGGTATTGGGAGCTGTTAAGCACAGAGTAGGGGTGCTTAAAGTTACATGTGGCCTCTTGGGTAAGGGTTGGTTGGAAATAACTGGCTGTGCTGAGGAATCGGTAAGCCGGAGAACTTAGTTCGTAGCCTTAACAGGCCCTGCTCCGGCAGGCAGGAAGATGCTACACACTATTCATCACTACTAGACGACTGTTTGCACTAAAAATGATTATTTATGAAACACCAAAATTGACCACTGCTTTAGTCGGCTGTACTCTTGACTCGTGAACCCGCTTTACCCGGTTACAATATTGTTAAATGACTTATGTAGAATTTTTTGGCTGCCATTGAAGTTTATGATACGCCATTTACATCAGAAGAGTGCACACAAGTTTTTGTTTTAAAGGGGTTGGTATTTTATAACAGCGCTTCGTATGTAAATCATATAGGATTTATGGTTCTCATAGCGGTAGTTCTGAATAGTTCTGTCTTCTCGGATATAACGCCATGTGGTCCGGTGAAGGTCAACTGACGTTTCGGAAGAACACATGGCCTCGGTCTTCAGAATTGCAGAGCTACTTGCTGTAGGCGTCGTGCTGATTTCTTGCTTGGCTTATTCTTAATTTCTAAAGACGGAGACGATAGGTTCCTCCGAAACGTCAGTTGACTTTCAACACATTACACGGCGCTATTTTCCAGACGAAATAATTTTTCCTTGTAAATTGTTTGGTGTTTGTTTTGGCTTGATTGCACTCCTTATAACTAGGTTGAATTTATTCTGTAATCTGTAGTTTTCTGACAGACTGGTCAGTACGTGCTCACGCTGGTTCCTCGCTCACGTATTTTCTTTTTCTTCTACCCGGAAGATGAAGGCGATACGTTCCTCCGAAACGTCAGTTAGCACAATATCTACATGACGCCACATCCCAGAAGACTGCTTTCTTCAATCCTTCAGCTGCTTCTGTGTCCGGTGCGTTTATATAAAAGTCTCTTTCTTGTTCTTTCTCGTACCTAAACTGACAGGTGTGATACACGCAGTCGCTGGTCCATGTAAAATTATAATTATTTTTCATCTGTGGCCTATAAAACGTGTACTTAATGGCGTCTTGACACAGTTTCACTTATGTGATTCTTTTTAACAAAACTCGTATTGGTTGCCAGAAATTACTTTACAGTCCCTCACCAGGAAAAAAAAAACTGATCAATTCCGTTACCATATTTGTTGGTGTAGACGAGGCTGTTTCGCGGTTATCTGCTACTTGTTTCTCTTTTGCATATCAGGCGTGGCGTCTTGCGTTGGTTTTCACTCATTCATCTTGTCGTCCTCTTGTCTTTATATCATGGAAATCATCTCTATTTGTAGGTTAGGTCTATATTCGGGCGTGGTTGAAATTTTGTTTGAAGTATTCGTTTCGTGGCTTGTTCCTGTATAGGTCATACTTGACGGGGGGGGCACCTTATTGATGGGGAACAGGAAGGGAAATAGCAAGGCGAGATACTCTGGTTACTTCCTTTGAAGAAACTTGCGGGCCGGTGAATGTTTTCTCCTCGTCTGTGTTGGTGTGTCAGTCAGTCGCGCGCTCGCCGTGCTCGAAGCAACGTGTTTACGCGAGTGATCTCTCTTTAGAGTCGTGAGTTTCGAATCAAGTGTAAACCTTTTTGCTTTCGTTGCAGTCTGCGAGTTCATATCGTCCGCTCTCATTCATAGCTGATTATCTCTCCTGAGTTGATAATTAGGATTGGTCTTTGTTTTTTAGTGTACACAAACTAGTCCAGTGAAGCGGTGATGAGAGAGTTTTTCTTATGTTTTTGTGACATTTTCATGTCCAATTTGGCGATTGTTTTTTTGCGGATTACAGTGTGCGGTTTTGAAGACGATGACGATGACCCAGAACTTGAAGTTCCTCGTCTTATGAGTTTCAGTTGAAGTATGATGAGACAATGCAGTCATCGTGCATATGTAATAAACACCTTTTTGACCTTCGTCTGGATGCTTTGTCATGACTTTGATATGGAAAACAGCGGAAAGCCGAAGAGATGTTTTGAAGAGGCATGGTCACAGTATGATTTTACAGTCTTCTGTAAGGTAAATTAACGACTGACTATATATATAGGCGTAAGGAGCACGCGGCAGCGTAGTTGGTTGAAGCACTATGCTACAAGCCGGACGGTCGCGGGATCGAATTACGATGATGTCATTGATTTTTTTTTTCATTTTACCTAATCCTTCCAGCCGCGCTATGGCCCTGGGGTCGACTCAGCCTCTAACAGTAAATGAGTAAAAGTAAGAGTAAAGTAAAGCTATCCATGTAACAGGCCGTGAAGGCCCATAGGGTTGTGAGACGTTAAGGGTCCCACATTATCTAGACAATCGGCTCAAAGTTGGCGGTAAGGTTGTCAGCCTTACGCGCCGGCCGCGCTTTACTCCCCAGGGAAATTATTTAATTAATTCCTGGTACTCATTTCTGTTAGAGGCTGAGTAAACCCAGGGCCTAGTGTGGCCGGAAGGATTAGGTCAATTGAAAAAAAAATCCAATAACCTCATCGGGACTTGAACCCGCGACCTTTCGGCTTGTAGCCGGAAAGTCGCGGGTACCAGGAATATTTTTTAAATATTCTTGTGGGTAAAGGGCAGCCGGCGCGTAGGGCTGACAGCCTTGCCGCCATCAATGAGCCGATTGTCTAGAAAATGTGGGAGCCTCGACGTCTCACAACCCTATGTGCCTTCAGGGCCCGTTACAGGGATAGCTTTACTTTACTATATATAGGCGTACGGTGCTTTTATCTTACAGTTTACTGGTGCTCAGTTCCAGAACAATCTAACCTTACATTTCAGAGGAAATCAGCCTATGAACTGCGGTGTCCATTTGTTAACGACATATACAAACTCAGGCCAACAGCTGGAATGCCGGGAGTTTATATTCCGTCTTCTAACTGTTAACGTCGCCGAGGTAGGAACCTAAGTGCCGAAGTTAAAAATATGCGGATCTGTATTTAACGCTTTTACACTTCGGTAACGCTGTGCTTTGACTGAGGATAGTTTTACCTGTCGCGACATGTCGAGACATTGTCTCTAAGACCAACAGTTTGATTACACTTTCAGACTTACAGATTCGTTAGTTTTCAAGTAATAGTGGCCCCGGATTTCAGAATGAATGACGGCATGTGACGATAGGTTTGTGCGCTGCGTTACTTTATCTCTGAAGAGAACATTTGCACTGTCTCATCTGCTTGGAAGCCACTCTAATCAGCGGAACTTCGGGGTTCGAACAAAATCGTCCAAGTCATGATGAATTGTCCCATCCAGATATAACCGAGTTTTATCCAGTAGTTTCCCCACCCTCACACCTTCGACGTTAACCCGTGCCTCATGCTTTAACATTAAATATTGTAGCATTTCTTCCGTAGTGTGTGTTTGTGGGTTTGGTTTGGTCCACTGAACAGTGATTGTTCCCGTAAGCATTATTATCTGGCTGATCTTTGTAACAGAGATGCGTTGTGTTTTCATAGAAGTAAGAACCGGCTTTTAGAATAATACATAGATGAGCTAAAATATTTAGGACCTTTGTGCGTTTTAATTTCCACCACATTTAAAATATTAATTATGGTCTCTCGGAAAATTAATTTTAATGCTGAAATATTTCAAAATCAATTTCATGTATAAAAAAAGAATTACCCTATAGATCCATAGCTTTTTTGTCTGTAAGTAATGGTGTATTTTGATGCCCTCCCTGAGAAATTTATAAACAAATTTTGGTCGGAAAACCCGAAGAGAAGGATCTACTACGACAGGGAATAGGCGTTGGAAGCAAAACAAATTAGTGTCCCCTCGGGTCTTATAATACCTGAACGACCATTGGTTTCCCATAATGGACCGCGCTGTATTATAGTTAATTCTTAGTTGGTTCTCTGTCACCTCTGGATGGTGACTACAGTGGCAGTGCTGAACTTGCAGCTCCAAGCGCCTCTTTCAGCATTGTGACACCAGAAAGGTAAAGCTGTCCTTGTAACAGGCTTTTGAGGCCCATAGGGTTGTGAGAAGTTGAGGCTCCCAAATTATCTAGACCAGGCATGTGAAACTCAACTTGTAAAGAGGGCCACCTCAGCCCTATAAATAATAGTCCAGGGCCGCGCTTCAAAATAGAAATATATATTAGATTTCGATACAAGGAAATTTAATTCTATTTATTATTTAGGAATAATTTCAATATAATTACCTAAAGTCACATATCTTGCAGTTCTAAAAAGCAAGAGAATGCCATTTTTGACAAGTATCAAACAGCTTTTCAATATGTAAAAAGAGAGATTACACAAGAAGTTATGTTAGAAATAGCAAAACATTGAATTTCCTGCATCCTGCTAATTTATGTCTGCGTGAGACTTCTTTCCTTCTGGTCTGTTGGAAAATTTTCTTTACAAAAAATATTTCTACTAAAATTTTAATATTGATTTTCATATAAATTAGCTCTAAAAGTTGAGGGGCCGCACTTTGTGGCTATGGGGGCCGCATGTCTGACACGACTGATCTAGACAATCGGCTGAAAGATGGCGGTAAGGTTGTCAGCCTTACGCCCCGGCCGCCCTTTAACCCCAGGGAAATTATTTAATTAATTCCTGGTACTCATTTCTGTTAGAGGCTGAGTCGACCCAAGGGCCGTAATGCAGCTGGAAAGATTAGATCAATTGAAAAAATCCACCTCATCGGGACTCGAACCCGCGACCTTCCGGCTTGTAGATTAGTTCCTCAACCAACTACACTACCGTGTACCCCACACCAGAAAGCTTATTTATTTATTTATTTTTGTTTAGATTTTATTTTACAGCTAATCATCTCAGTAACGCATACTGCGTGGAATGACTGGATGATAATGTGTAATGATTTGCGAAAATGACATGGAAGGAAGCGGTCGTGGGCTAATTTAAGGCATCGAGACATTTACCTAGCGGAACCGAGAAAACCCACAAAACCACAGCCAGATTAGTAGGTGTACCGTCCCAGATTGGAACCAAGGACTCTGCGAATACAAGTGAGAAGCGTTACCTCTTGGGCGAACCTTCTAGTTTTTGTAAGATTTGAGGCTTTCACGGCGGTGACTATGAAGAAAGCAGTCTTCTGGGATTTGGCACCTTATACTTCTTCAACCCTGAAGATGGGGGCGATACGTTCCTCCGAAACGTCGGTTAACACCACATATACACGATGCCAAATCCCAGAAGACTGCTTTCTTCTTCTAGTTTTTGTTTTTGGAACGTTACAATGAGGCCGACCCACATCGTTGGTTGATAGAATGTGTCAGGACTCCAGAAAATTGAAACAGATTATATCCACTGTTCTTCATGAGCCACCGCTTCAGCGTCCTTCAAGATACACCACCCGCGCTACTCCAGAACGGCTTCATTCATTTTTTTCTCCCCACTAACCGTAATTAATCGAGCATTTTCATTCAGCGCTCTGTAGCCGTGGTAACGGTGAAACGTGAAGAAACGGCCTGAGGCAGCTGGCAAATTTAATACATGACGTCACTCTTATTGTGTATATATAGAATTACACATCTCATTCAACATGCAGACAAGGCAGAAAACTACTTAAAGATACACACAGTAGGAAGAGACGAACGGTAAAGTTCAGACCGTTCATTCTCTGTTAATGGCGTCGGATTAAGATTTGTTTTATTTAATCAAGGTGTCGTGTTTTTAAGGCATTGTGAGCCTGGAAATTCATTACAGCTGATTCAGGATAATGAGGACAGGAAACCCCCCCCAAGCCTGTCAAGTTGGCGGTAATCACGTAACAATGAACTGCGTGAATTATACATGGCTCCTAAGGCAATTAACCCACTTTTCCGTGCTACGGGTAACAAAAAATTATTTCGAAGTTAGAGTCTACACATTTTTCACTACCATACAACATTCTTTGGATGGGGTTGGGTTGGAGATTTTTTTTTACCTCCGAATCGGGTGGTTGTATTTCGTAGTGACCGCTGACAGGGCGTCGTAAAGAGTTTTAAGAAGATTTAATAGCTGTAAGGTACTTGGCATTGACTGAACCTACTTTGTGGCGGTAAAATAAAGGTAAAATTATCCCTCTGCTTAATTAATTAAACATCACACCATGAAGACGCATGTGGGAGCGCAGGTATAGCTCCACAGTTCTTGACCTTGGCTAGTAGAGGGAAGTGCATGGCCAGCTTCATGCCCCGCCCCCTTTACCTTCAGGGAAATATCCCCAGGTACCAATTGTTTAGGAGGCTCGGTGGATCCGAGAGCCGGCCTGGACTCTGTGGATTAAAGAAAAATCTCTTTTCCTTGCCAGGAATCAAACCCCAGCCTTCCAGCCTGTAGCCCGTCGCTGTACCGACTGTTATATCTGAATTATAAGAAATGCATTGCTAACAACACTACAGTCAGCAGGCTTGTCTACCGCTAACAGTATAGACTTGCAGTCGGGAAATGCTCTGTTCGAATCTCGCCCGAAACATCGGCTGTCCTGACTGACGCTTTTCGTGGTTCCCTTCCGTCCTTCCAGACAAATACCAAGCCAGCAGGCCAATTAGGCCATTACTGCTTCCTTTCAAATCCTTCCCAACTTATTAGTCACAAATCATCTTACCATTCTGCACTGTATAATTAATGCAGATACCGAAAGCTCATGAGGCAGGGATAGCGCAGTCGGCATAGTGACTGGCTACAGGCTGGACAACCAAGTAGATGGAGTTCGAGTCCCGGTGGGGAGTAAGAATTTTCACTTCTCCATGTCGTCCAGACCGGCTCTTGAGCCCACACAGCCTCCTATCCAATGGGTACCGGGCCTCTTTCCCTGGTTAAAGCGGCCGGAGCGTGGAGCTGACCACTCACCTTGAACTAGTGCCGAGGTCAACAAGACGTGGTTCTATACATACACTCCCCCATACACCTTAATGGCGTAATGCTTAATTAGTTAAACACGAGACAACGTTACCTCTTTTTTACCTTTGCCGAAAGCTCGTTACATAACCCACGAAAAGAAACACTGTACAACAAAGCGAACAGTTTCCCACCTTTAATGGAATGTGAGTGGTTAAAGTAAAGCTAAATGTATTGAATTTA